TACACATAACACATAAACATATATATATACATACAATCTAATTTATCCTATACCTATACGGCTATACCATATGATAAAAAGTAAAACCATTACAAAAATCTGGCAACACCAGTCCATATAGGTTGTGTACCTACCTATATTGTGTTTTTTCATCTTAAAGGAATATAATTTTATACTTAAGTATTCTATAAGTATATTACTTTGTATAATACTTTTTACCTTACTTAGTTTAAAGGATAAAATACACACCTACATATAAAATGTAGATGTGTATGTGTATAGGTTATGTATATTATAATATATTGTCAACGTCAGAAATATTATTATAGTATAAATAGTATAGATAGTATATGAATATTATGGATAAATAATCCATGGTAAATAGTTGTATCATAAAATCTACTACTTCATATTCAATTTTTATTTTTTTTTTCATTTTTTTAAGTTGAACACACCAAGAAGTTGGCACGTATGCTTATACTTATTAGGAATACCTACCATATATTAGTCGATGTACCTGTCACCTATACACGGATACAATGTTACATGTCTACTACGTCACAGGATATTAGTCTTGTTTATTGCCGTTAAAAAAATTTTCAAATAATTTCTACCTAATCTAGTAATCTAGATATTTATAACCATATATTATTAGAGTATCAAAGTGCTACTAAACTTGTAGGATGTCTTGGGTTCATTGAATTCACGATTTTAGTGAATCGTAACATATTTTTACAAAAAAAAAAACTTTTGTAAACAGTATATATATATAAATATTTTGATTAAAATATTCAAATAGTTTTTAACCTTTTAAATGTTGGTTAGATGTGAATATAATATCGAAAAAACTTTAAAATGATTGGACCGGTATGGGTATGAAAACGAACACGGTGAGATACTCAGCTATATATTACATAATACAAGCTAAATAAATATAACATTTGCAAAACATAAATTAGCATAGAGAACACCACCCATCAAATATTTATTCAAATAGTAATTTTAAAAATAAAAATTTAAAAATAATTTTTTCTGTGGAAAAAACATTCCAAACGTGTAATTTCTAGAGTGTATCAGTGTACCACTGAAGAGTACCTAACTGTACTTCGAGGGTGATATTTGTTGTAAAAATAATGTGTCGACACCTAAACTTAACAGTTATATTATGATTATATTATATTATATTATGTTAAATAAATGTATTTATCATATTATTATGTTTATGGTCTAAAATACAATTATGAAATAGCGAATCATGATCATCATCATTGAATAGGTAGGTACTATTATAGGCATCTTCGTAATAATATGTTAGTATATTACCTAAATGTTAAACTAATAAAGTAATTATAATTTGTACTTAGGTATGTAGATTATAATAATAACATTTTACAATTAAATTAATGGAATTTCAAATAAATAGACCATATTAATAGATTATATTATTAGTATGATAATATGTTCGTACATTTTTTGATTATAATATTCAATCCGATTGTTTCTTAATAGGTTATATTAGTATATTAATGGGAGTTATAGGTAACTTTARAAGTAGGTAGTGTGTCTATTTAATTTATGAAAAATTAATTATATAGGTACCTACCTTGTGCAGACACTTCGATATGGAAATCTCATATGACGTACATTTTAACATAATATAAACGTTAGATATATTTTTGTCACTCCAAGACCAATACAATATCAATAGAGATTTTAATTTATACCTCACCATTAATTAGTTCAGATATATTAAACCTATAAGGCTATAATACACATATAACAATGTGAAAACACAGTTTTCAGCGTGACCAMGAGGCAATGACCCCATTATACACATTGCAAAGCTGAAAGTAAGTCATGAGCACCCCAGGGTCGTTAAATACAGGCCATAAGCATCCAGAGGGATTTAGTCAAAAGCGCCCAGAGATTAGAATGCTAATATACAATTGCAGCCCTCGAATGTGCCGCTTAATCGGATGTAGTGTAGTTGTCTGTTGTTATAACAAATATGTATTTAAATATTATAGTTATACTAAGATAATTATTTACTTAAAATTATACCTAGTAATAGTTGTAAACGGTACACACGGAACTTTATTCATGGTCATATCGATCCATTAATATTTATATTATACATATTATTGTATATCAGCGTTTGCACAGTCTATATGACTAGCATTTTTTGAAAGATAAATAAATTAATAACAGTGTCCATTTAAAATACTATAAAACACTCAAAATTGACATTTATTTAAAAAATCAAGAATTATCATTACGCAAGGTATTATTTTCGAGTAGCCATTTACATTCAAACTGTAAGCCATCAATGATTGAAAAATATGCACGTCAGGTAACCATAAACAATAACTTTATGTTATAATTGCATTTAGATAAAATTAGGTCGATGGAATCGATGGATTAGACATGGTTGAAGTAAATAATTATAGTAGGTACTATAATTTATATAGGAGGGTGTAACCAATGGTCGAAATGGCTCAAAATAAGTGGAGGGATGCCTAAATTTTTATAATTTTCTTATATAATTATGRTCTACACACATGGGGTGGTTGAAGGTGGAGATAAGTTGTTATAATACCTTATTTATTATACAATTTTATATATATTATATAGGTATATTTTTGTTCTTCAGTTTGGTGTCTTAATCGTTGATATATTTAAATTTGTATATACGTATATTCACATAGGCGTGTCCACGGGTCATGCCTGTCATGCACAGGCATGACCTGCAAATTTGATCAAATTTGCATAGTACATTTTGATGCATAATATGAACCTTTTTTTCTCAATTTCTATTTTCATATTAAATTTTTTATTTTTCATCATGTGTATAATTTAAATCCCCAAACCCTAACAGAAATTTTTATTTTTTATTTTTATTTTTATTTTTTTATTTTTTTTTGGGGGGGGGGGATTGGCAGATTCCCTATCCCCTAGATATGCCACTGTTGTGCATGACCTGCGAATGAGGTCTGAACACGCCTATGTATATTCATATTTAAAACGTGAAACATATTATTTACGCATGTATATATAATTTATCAACAAAACTACATATAGGTAGGTAGTTTATCAATAAATCCTAATAATATTCATTATTATAGTAGGTATAAAAACAAAAAATAAAAATAACTGAAGTTTATTATATATTACTATAGCTAGTCTATAGTCTTTAATGGTATATTAAACTTTGGTGCAAAAAGGTTTTGTAGTAGATAATAACTAATTTGCATAGCTATTATAGCTATATTGTCTATTGATACAAAATTACATTACGAGATTTATTTGTACTTTTAGTTGAGCAGTAAACCAAAACAATATAATAAAACATACAAGTGTGTAATAACTCAGAAACAAATTATTAAACAAGCCCATTGCAATTTATGTTTTTTAAATTATAAGAAATTGCATTTAGATTTATTAGATATATAGACTTCAGATGATCCAATTTATAAGAGTTAATGATATTTAATTCATAAAAAAAAACAACAACAACATTGTATTCTTGTATCACA